AAGTCTGTGCGTAGACCTGTCGTTTTGTTGAAGGACAGCCGGCCAGTCAAACCATCCCAATGAGACTGAAAAACAACATTCTGAATTTCGTACCCATACTTTTTTTTTTCAGAAACTTTTACCTGTCATGTGTGAGCGCATATTTTTTGTCGGATATTGAGTTTTTGAAAACTACAATCAACAGAGGAAAATGTAAATTTAAGGTAGACGCAATGCTGTTGCATTCACTAAATTGAAAAATTAATAAACAAATAAGTACAAGGACATTCCACAGGCCCTTTCAACAAACAATACCACAGCCCATTTTCTCCTGCACTTAGCGTAAATTCACACCACCACATCCATAGGCCATAAGTACAAACACAAACTGTGCTTGTGCATTTCCTTTTTTAATTACATTTTACATCCCAACGCCTCCAACGTATTTTCCCTCCAGACTACGGAGTTAATTAACAACCACCTCCTTTTACTTGATTCCTCACATGGAGGTGGGGGAGCGGTGGTGAGGACATTTAACTGACCCTATAATGACTCCCTAATACCCGACACCTCCACAGATAAGTGCATGTGTAGACACATGTCATTCTCTGCTACATACCTTTTCTTCCCCCCCCAGTCATCCATATTTAAGCCCCTCAAAAAACAGACTTTAGTCATTGTCCTTGTCCTTGTATTTGTATTGAATGCTCGCCCGTGAAGAGGGAATCCTTTTTTTTTTTTAAAGCGGTGTCAAGATTTGTTCATGCTTTTGTTTGCAGACACTGATTTCTAATTTGGGCAGCGGTGTCTCTTTCATCCAGCCACAGTCTTTGATGCATGCCCACGATCTATAAGGTTCAGTTGAATAGGGGTAATCAATCATTATGCATTAGGCTGCAGCATTTTCCTTTTTTGTTTGAAAAACCCAAAGTGTGACAACCTCCCAACCTGCTATCTGTCCAGCATGTAGCCTGCCAGAAGTTATTGAGGGTAGATCGAAAGCTTCAAGGAGATATACGTGGCACTATTTTTCAAAACCTTCCCACACCTCACTTCCTCTGGCCTATTGCCATTAAGGTGGGTGGCATGTTGAAACAGCTTTAATTCAGAGAGTGACATATATACATAAGCCATGGCCCATCTAGAGGGCCAATTCGACCTTGGGAGCATGTCACAATCCTGTCTTGAAGCGAGCGTAAATCATGATGGACCATTTGTGTTTGTATAAACAAACACAATAGGATGATTCATACTTTCTTGTGTTTAATGATGTCGGCTACACATTTTTAACATATCTCCTTTCAACTGAAAATTACTAGCAATACTAATTTATTCAAATTAATTACCACTGATATACACCAGCAGTGTTTGTTGTGTATCGTAATGATGTAAAACCTATGCAATCATGGGTTTGCGCATTTTGCTGACAAACAGAAATGTTGTCTACAGCTCTGACACAAACACTTGTAATAATGGATTCAGTGCCAGATTATGTGTAGCTGGAAAAATAAATTGATAATGTGAGATAGCTCACAACAGCAAACCAATGCTGGGTGTTGCTTATTATCTTAAAATCGATTAAAGAGGTTTCTACGTAATACATGCAATTATGAATTGAATGTTTCAACAACAAGGCTTTCTGACAGGGCTTAACCTGCTGCCATTTTCAGCCCGCCAGATTGTACCATTACAGTTGATTTTGTGCTCGTTTCCAAATCTAACAAAAAAATTATTGATGACATAGAAAAGTTTCTCACACTGACCAACATGTAATCCTTTACGCAGGATGTGAACTGTAAAACCGAACCACATATCAGAAACCACAAAAAATGAAACTGACTTACAATGACATTCCAGGAAATAACAGAAAAACAAGTTTTCAGTGGTATTTCTGAAATGTAACTACATCCACTTCTTGATGGATTTTTTTTTAAATCCTGCCTTCGGATTCGAGGTGTTTTTGTCTCCAGTTAGTGTGTTTTTCACTCCAGTTTTTTAGCACTGGCAGTTGTTATATTTTTGCAACGCAATACTGCATAAGCAGAAGAGACAAAGCAGATAAATATTAGAAATCAGTCTGCAAAATTGCAAACACTTCATTCATTTTTGAATACATCGCCAAAAGGTGTCACTTCTAAATTCTGGAAGGTCCCTTTTTTGGAGCAAAACATGGACATAAAAACAAATCTGGAATCAATCAACCACACACACCTTTGCAGGTCAAACAACAAATGCTATTCCGCTTCCTATTCTTTGAAGCAAGCAGTGGATTTAAACTGTACAAATTCCAAACAGAAAATTGCTTGAAAACATGTAGAGAGGATGTCTTATCTACTATTGAAAAATATAAGAGACTGCTCTCCAAAGAATGCTTTCGGTTTGGGAAGGAAACCACACAGCCATGTACTGAGGCCAACTATTTTTTTCAAAGCAATATATTGGAGCTGACAAACATTAGAATGTTCTTTCTAAGCCGTGATTCTGGCCACGTTTAACGAAGTGTTATGTTACAAGCCAGGTCCTGGTCTTCCCTGCACATAGACATTAGTGTGGCGACAGCTAATTAAGGCTGGAGAGGGAGTGGTCACCAATACCATGTTTTGGGGTCAACCTATATCCAAAGACAAGACGATGGACCACATCTACAGTCCTATACAAATGCACACAAGCTAATGTGGGTTAGAAGTATCAGCAACACAACTGACAACATACTGAATATGACAAAGATGTCTTGGTGTGTTTGTTTGTTATTACTTTTTTTGTTTGTTTGCGTGAGACTACTGTTCTGGAAGACATTATACAGTTGATACTGCATACTACCAAGATATGAGTGGATGACTAGGAATCAATGTATGTAGAGAAATGCATTCCTTCAATGTCATCCAGGGAAACTCAAGAGAGAAGTCTACTGGAAAATAGGCCCAACCTGGCCAAAACGCATCTTCACAACTGGTCACAAATGCTGACAGCATGCATTGTACTGAAGCATACATAAAAAACAAAAAGCGGCGGTGGTCAACTACTGGCACCTAGCCTAAGAGGAAAGAAACGCTTTTGCAGAAACAGTGGATGGTGAAAGCTGTCATCCACATGTCCAAGAACAAAAGACGTTTTGTTCAGACAAATGAGGAATCCCACTCGGAGAGTAAAGTTTGTGTGCATGATAAAATGGAGGAAAAACAAATGGAATTCCTTTCCCTTATATGTCTAAACCCAAGACAAAAATACAACAACTAATAAACATGTTGTTTCAACAAAATAAGATACTAGTGATATTTCTACATATCATTAATCTGCTATTTTGCAAAGACTTCTTTTTGTATTGTAAGGCACTGTTAAACACTAAATGTTAGATTAAATAAAAGCTTATTACACAAGTTGTGCTTTCAAAAGGTTACCTTGCATACATTCTGGAAACCGGGTTATGAGTAAAGGGAAGTCATAAAGCTGACAAAAATGGAACTTTGATTTGTCCATCAAGGCTGAGTTTATGTTGCATGTAAATTGATTTATTTGCAAAGCAAACACCTGTGTACCAAATAACTACCTGGCCCTCACACCACTTTTACTTTTTTCTTCATCACTATATCTTCTTGCATTGAACAGCTGTGAAATCAAACAGCAACAGACCAAAGGTGCCCCATCACCTCTTTGATGAAACTCATAAAGCGCCCTCCAAATCTCCAGGGCTTGTGGCGGTGGCACTGCAGCGAGTTCACAGTCATCTGTGGAGCGTGCTGGTATGAGACTGAGACAATGTGGACTGCATCATAGGTCAGAGCTGCATCTGTCTGGAATAAGGGGTGAACATTATTTCAGCTGTGTGCTGTGGAAATATGTAAAAAAGATGAGTCAAAATGTCCTTTTTTTAAGCTGATACAACATTCAAAATCCATTTCAATGTTAATTTTTAATCTCGACTTAAATATTATTGACACACTCTTCACTGTCTTTTGGCCTTTTTTGTCCACTGTGGTTTTTGGAAATGTATGATGAATTCAGTTAGTTACAATTAGATTTTCTTGCCAGTAGATATCACCATATCTCATACATTGGATTTTAGGATGTGGATGTGATTTGCCTCTTGCCTTATAGTGGATGTCCAGGCCTCTCCAAGAAGCCAAAATCACTATGTAATTGTTGCTGAAACATTTTGACATCAACTGACTAAACCGAACTGACTGAATAAGAGCAGTTATGAAGAGAGATGGCATTTACGTAGGTAAAAGAAAGAGAAATGTAGGTTGCACTTGTTGATTTGAAGCACAACCACTGTAAATAGGAATAATAAATGCATTTCATACCATAATATAAATCCCTGTTTTGTTATAACTCTGTGCTATTTTTATTTTTCTTTCGACCATGACATCTGTATGTAAGAACAGAGGCATGGACATTCAAGACCAGGCAGCATTTGTTTTCATCTTAAGTCACACATCATCTTTGTTCACTTCACTGTCAGCTTCTCGACTGCATCATAGAAAATAGAAAAAGATCATGCATCATCTGTTCTAGTCTTTACGTGTCCTTTCTGTGATCCCTTCTATATCAAAACTGTTACTTGGTTGTTATATGCAGATCTCACCCGGTTTTGTGAAAGCTATTCTGGGGCATGCCTTCTACACTCCAAAATCAGAAAGACATATTTGCCCTTAAGAACCATGAGTAGACAGTAGTCAACGAAGTGCATACGAGGACATCTAGGACATCAATCATCATATTTAAAATGAGCACACATGTGCATAGTTCTGAATTTCAGAATCCAACAAATCCAAATAATTGCATTGAAATATTTTATACAGAATTTGTCTATGGCTCATCCTGTAGAAAGACTCCGTGTTAAACATGATCCTATTTGGTCAGAAACTCTATACCATTAAAATATAGGATTTATTTTTTATTCATTCAGCCATGAGTTAAAACACATCAAGAAGTCATTTTCTTTTTCAAAATACATACCGTCATGATGCCCTCCAGCAGGCCTGAATCTGGTTTAGGAGGTATCTGCCTTTCCATCGACCACTTCTCCACAATGGATGCCACTTGAGGATTATCTACATTAAGGATGCGGAAGCCGGTCATGTTGACACCACAGAAGCGATATGGCTCGAGGTCAATGGCCATCAAGTCCTTTTGAGATAGAAAGACAGCATCCAAATTTAGTCATGCAGCAAAAAAAATTTGGAGTATTCATCCTGGATTTTTTAAAATCACATAAATAGTAACTAAGGCAGAGGCTGTAACCAGATTAAGCTAAAAATAAGGTAAACTGGTGCAGAAAATTAGTCATTTTCAATGTTACATTTAGATATTAAGGTACAGTGTGCCTTGTTGTAAATTAATTCTTAGAAGGCTCTGGTAGACGAAGCAAATCGGCTTTAGAATTGGCACATTGTTATTGTTTCTGTACCTACATAATAATAAAATACATTACTCAGGCTACAAGTGTGTGAATTATTTTGCCACACTGTTTCAAAGTTGGGGGGGGGGGGGGTCTTTGGGTGCATGTTTCAGGGTGGCAGATTCTAATTATTGTTAGTAGCTCAGATAATTAAAGAACAAGAAAAAAAGCCATTCTGTTGGATCGTATTAATTATTCAACACTCCCATTCCCCTGGCAACTTCTAAGTAAAAAGAAATTCAGTTTGAGCCGCTGTAAATTCTGGGGCAGCGGCTGCAGCTGAAGTGTGAAGTCACATGTTGACACATGTCATGTCAGAATGGGCCAGAGGGCTTGGAAAAGACATTTGGATGAACACAGATATTTCATTAGCACCCTGTGGGGTTAGTGCTGGGAGAGCGGGGGCATGTAGGACATTTACTAAAGAATGGCCGTCATTTTTCATTAAAAATATTTCAGTTTTACTCCGTATTTTAAAAGCAATGTTTTACCCTCTTTTTTAATGAAAAATCTAACTAAAAAATACACTGTAAAAGACACTAAGAAACACTACAAAACAGTAAAATAGTTGCTGAACTTTAAAGCTAATAATATGAACTAACCAGGATGGAATAGTTTGTATTAAACGTGTTAATCAGTTTGATGACTGATTTCTAAACAGACATCTTCGGATCAATGTCTTTTAAGCTTTGTGTTTTTTATATGTTTTTATTATTGACTGGTCAATAAGATTATGCCATTGAATGAAAGTTAAACCCCCAAGGACATTTTGCACACAGATGTGTTACGGTCGGGGAAACAAAAGTTATCATCTTCAAGTTCTCAGAGATAGATATTACAAGACACAAGCTATGACAGACTCATTTCAAAGGACAAGGAAGTTATTACCCCTATACCACTGTGCTGTTGCCTTTTCATGCTCTAATAAGTCGGCACTTTCTTCACTTCGGAAGATAAAACACAGACATCAGTGAATTCCATC